ATACTGTGATGTTTGTGAGACAATGAAATGCCCTTATGTTTGTTTCTATGATATGAAACAATGAAAACGAAATTACGACCCATATCAGTGATTTCCTTTTTATTATAGATATTTCTATTAAAAACCAAACCCATGCTTCATTCATAGAAAGCACTTTTGGTGTCCATGCCAAATAAATGTTTCAAACCGTATTGGAACACATCTCAGTTGAATCAAACTAAATCACACTAATTTGTGTTGAATGGATTTGTTTCTATTTGAAAAGCTCTTGTCTCTGAATTGTATCAGACTGTTCATTTATCTCTATATTTACTGGAACATCCTCTAAGGGAGTAATCCACAGCCTATGTAATTACATATAGAATAGATATCAACATAAAAACAGTCATCCCAAAGGGTTAGTAGGCTGTCTTGTCAGCCTCACCATGGTATGAACAGAACACTGACATATCTGCAACCTACTTTGAACATTGTGTTTTCTCCCTTATGTGTGCTTCTCCCAGGCATTACTTGTTGTAAAAGTGTATCTCATGTGAATAACCTCTCACTGCTTAGCATGTGTAAACGGGCATCTTGGGACAAAGTCTACACCTAACTTCCAGAAATCTGTAGCCTTTTAAAAATAAACATCTTTACTAGCTTTAATAGTAAAATACAGATACATGTTAATGTTCTGGGCTGTACTCATCATCATTTCTGAGTCAGTTATATAACTCATAGTCATTGTAATGTAATGCAAAAAAAGCCTTGCTTCTGCACAGTGAATGCTTTTAATACTGATGCTTCATGTAAATTTTGCTTATGGCACTCATGAAAACAGGATTAGTTACGTCTAAGTACTTTGTTGTAATCAGCCACATGAGTGGTTCTTCGCATTTTCTTTTTTAAAGATAACATTTTGATAGAATAGTTTGTCCAATTGAAACCAAGAGTAGATTGAACCAACAGTCAAACTACTTCACTCCCCTTTCAAGTCTGCGGCTCTAATGAGGACAAAGTGCATTCGGAGCGGCGACAAATATCAAGATATAAAAAAAATCAAGCAACCAGACGAAATGAAAGACTGTTCATAATTGGGTTAGTAATGTTTCTGGCACCGTCTGCTCGATCATTTCCTCCAATCTCCCAGAGCAACAGGGGATCACGCATACGACATTAAGACCAGGAGTTATCTTGGCTCTTTGTGACAGGCTGCCCTCTACATTCTTTCACCATCCTTAACACCTATTCTGATACAAGGAAGCCTAAAAGAGTGGCAAGCGTGATTATCATATGTACAACATGAGGCGACTTCGCAAATCTTTTAATGATATGTGACCCTTATGGACACCAAAAACTGTGAACTCATGCACCCATAACTTCTCACTTAATCTGTATTACTCTCATCACAACAGAGCAAGCCACTCTATCAGTAAATGCTAATCTCCTAATTAACAAGCTAATTAGGCAATTACAGCTTTGCAGAAGGATGCCTAAATGAAATATGACAACACAGTCACTTTCTACAGCACCTGTGGGTCTCTTCAGATGTCACAATGAGAGGCATGATGACAAAGTGTTGTCTCTACACTCATAAGTGCGTATTCCTTTGCCTCAGTCAGCTCATTTGTAAAAATATTGTCATTTTGTTTAACCTAATCTACAGTGGGGAAACAACGTGTCAATTTACATGTCAGATATGTCAAATAAACTGTCTTTCATCAGTCCACGGCATTATTCTCTTTTCTGTTTTTAACATCAGGAGCGAAACAGTGGTTTTTCAGAAGAGCAACTCCCTGGTTATGTAAACATGGTTCGTGAACTAGTCCCCCCCACAGTGTTTTACTGTACGGAGCTGTCACATAAGGAAATGAATTATGTTGACATGTGGCTGAAAACAACAGTGAATAGGCATGGTATGCAATGCAATGAAGAATCATGCACTGCAAGAGAGGAGAGGAGCCCGAGCTGTACCTTTGAGCCCTTCTTGACAGGTATGTAGTGTGACTTGACAGCTCAGTATTTCAATGATAAATGCAGTAGTCCTGGGACTCCCATTCACTAAACTCAACAGTGTGTTGCTCCAATGCTTCAAGGTCAAACGAATGAGTAGAACCACCGAGTCAATCTGTATTTTTCTCACACATGCTGTTTGAGTGGACGATTCCTAACTTTGAAGTTCATGTAAATTCTGAAATATTTCAACATCTTTGATCTCTCAAACTGAATACTTTCAGTACTGTAAGACTGACATTTGATAAATAAAACTCCTTATGTGAGAATGTTCAGCTTCTGTCAAGTCAGGTGATTTGTTTTCAGTTATTTTGTGACATTTGGGACTCTTTTAATTCTGGCTTTGCGACTGCAGAGAGGTAACAGCAGGATGGTGTCCTCCTCCCACTCCACTGAGATCATGAAAATGTGAATAGTTAGTTTTTCTATGACTCACTGTATCATGACTTAAAATATAGAATATTTTCTTTTGGCAAAAGTTGCTTTGTGTTTAGAGGTTTAATCTAGTCACTCAGTTCTGATTCATGAAGATGAGACATCCTCTGAGACGGTTCACTACGTCACACTGACCCATAAGAACACAGAATGTATTAGTGCAATGAAGATAATTATCAGAACCTTTCAATGGATCCACTTAATTCTGCATTCCAAAGATATAAGATGCTTGTATTAATGAGTGGCAAATTACAGCCAATAACAGAAAGTCAGCAGTCCTGTTTTTGTCTGTTCTGCACAGACACGAGTAAGTTGAAATAATATTATATACTATAAGTCAAATTATGTGGATGACCACAGTGTCCTAACAATATGAATACCATAAAGAAATACCGGTTTAAAAGTTACTGATGCATTCCCACAATTCATGAAAGTATTTAGTTTCCATCCCTATGCACTGCAGTTAAAGTAAAAATTTAATTTAAAATTTGAATTTAAAAAAACAATTTGCCTTGTATTAGGCAAGTATTTACCTTGTATTGCTTAAATAGGATTAATTTAATTTTCATATTTATTTCTCATGTTGTATTTAATTGGAAATGACACCTAGACAAGTAATTTGATATTTTACCTGAAGAAGAAACCATCGATAGGGATGACATTCCTCTAAAATGTGTCTTAATAGTTTTAGGATTTTAGTCAAAGATCACAATCAAAGCCACATCAAAGACTACACTTTGTATAAAAGTTAACTGGAATACTTTACTTTACTTGCTGTTCGAAAGGCAAACCTCAATTGAATCAAAACATGCGATTGCATTAAACTGATAGCCGTCCTCTGTCTTTTAAACAACGTTTTCCTCACGAATCCACGATCAACACGCTTACTGTAGAGGTACTCGGTATATTTGTTGCCTCGTATCCAGCTCAACAACTTGTCTGCTGCCATAGCAACTGCGGAGGAGCACGGAGCAGCGCCGCCTGCTTGTGCAATGGATGTCACTCGTGGCAACGGCCAATCAGAAGTTCCCATCCCTTTTGCAAGAGCAACGCGAAGATGGAGGGATGGAGTGGGTGGGTTCTCGGTAACGTGCATCTGCCAGCCATAGGACGGACGGATAGTCAGTCCCCCGTCCTCCTCGCCTGGGATTGGTCGGGGGGGGCTTTACATCCAATAATATAAACATGTCTTCTGCTCGCCTGGCTTGAACCGAGGCTTACAAGCGACTATGCAGTTCTACATCAAACTGTATAAAAACTCTCATTATGTATTTGCCCGTGATGTTGCAGGGCTGATTCTTTATCACTGGTAGAGAATATGCACATAGCCACACGTGCACGCGTAAGGAAACGAGGATACCCTGCTGCTGCCGCTGCTGCTGCTGCAAGAAAGAGAGAGGGGACTGCCGTGCTTTCATCATTATAATCACCATCCTAAGTACTAGCTCTTAACATTTTGTTTTTCGGTGTTCAGGCGAGAAGTGACAAGAGTCTAGACCCCTCCTCTGCAGGGCGGAGCGTGCATTTTCATCTCGTATTTTGTATCTTTTTAATTTTTTTTTTCCACCCCTGTACCCTGCTCTGACACGTCTGCACTGAGTGAGTGGCATTGGCACACTGTCAATCGCTCACTACCGCTGCCATCAAACAACATAAAACACACACAGGCATAGGCTGGAGCTCATAAATTTCAGCAGGGCGAGATATTTTTTTGCGCATCGCCTTTATACAACCTTGTATCCTAATTAATTTAGTCTCGCTGTATCTTCTTTTTTTTTTTTTTTCCTACGCAAAAAATCTCCCAACTTTTTGTACATTTCATATTTTTATAGTTACATTTGGACACCAGATTTTTTTTCTTCTTAGATATTGTCAGTTGACGCTGGAAACATTTCTGCACATTTACTGTTGGCAACACCTGCGAAGCTGAGATTCTTTGATTTGTATACATGTTTTCCACGTTGGATAATTTTTCTGTTGTTGTTGCCGGTGCTTCGCGGGAAGGATTTGGACATTTTCGAGAGGAAATGCGCCGGGGATCTCACGAAGAGTGCCAATAAATGAAAGATCACCAAGGAAGCGTTACTGTCTACAGCACAATCAAATCCAATAGAAAAGACAGATTGATGCGAGGATTTCTGGGGGATATGATGGACCGTCAATTCTGATAAAGAAGTTTTCAGAAGGAAAAGAAGATTTATGCGTTTTTCTACACACAGAGCCAAGCGTTTTGGCACTTTGGACGGCGCGTAAACCAACAGGAGGACAGCGAGAACTTGGACAAGATTCGCGTTAAAACATCCGTAGCCTACTGTTATCACAAAATATATTTATCTATATATATATATTTATACATACATACATATATATAAACAGATATATATGTATATATATATCAATATATATATATGTATATTTATATACATGTATAAGAAGTAACTGTGTGTTTTATATTTTTGCTAAACCGCCACACAGTCGCGCATCCTTTCCGTCTGCGGCACATGCTATAGCCCATTTCGTATATGAGTTTTTCAATTTGTGTGGCTCAGTGCACAGACTCTTTAGCGGCTACGATGGACGATCAAGCCCGGATCATGCAGTCGATTGGCGGCGTCAGTCTGGCCGGCCACTCGGTGCAAGGAGGCATGGCACTGCCGCCTCCACACGGACACGATGGGACAGACGGGGACGGAAGAAAGCAGGACATTGGTGACATCCTGCATCAAATAATGACCATAACCGATCAGAGTCTGGACGAGGCGCAAGCAAAGTTGGTTGATTTATATGCTTTATTAACTTCGCCCCGCACAAAAAATCTGCACGTGTTGAGATGTGGCCCGATTAATTCATTCCCCTAAGCGTAACAATAGGCTGAAGTGGTCCTAATGATGACCAGAGTTGTCCCCTGTTTGTTGCCTCACAAAGCTTTAACACAAGGCAAAGTTGTCATGACATGATTTTATTGAAACAACCTGCCATCATGTAGTTGAGAGAGAAAGTACTATGCAAAAGTTTGTGCGCACTAAATTTTTTATGTGTAGAAATATTCAGATTCCTAATTTACTACAGCACGTTTTTACTGGCAGTGAAATTAATTCTAAAATTCAATGACATACTGAATTTTAAAGAAAGAAAGCTTCACTGTGTAAAACATGATACCTCTCCACAATGTTGGTTGGGAAGGTGAAAGGCACAGAGACAACTGTAGTTTGTTCCTTGATAAATCAGTTTAGTTATTCATAATTGAGATGTGATTTATCAGTGAACTTATTTCAGTATTTTATTTTTTTCTCATACTGAAACAGGAAACATGGACTGAACTGTCACAGAATGAAACCAGCACTCTTCAGCGTTCTCTGCGAAATCAAAGAAAAGACAGGTAAGACTCTTATGTTAAAATTGTCCTGGTGTTATGTTGTAAATCCAGAGAAAAACACAGTTTGTTATCAGACTAAAGCAGCAGCTCACAGGCAATTTTACCATTTGGTGATCCAATGGCATCCTGTGCCCAGGTTTCTGGGGACCTCTGGCCAAATAAATCAATCACCCTTTTAAATCTGTCATTGTGCCATGTGGACGCAGTACTGTGGATTGTCTTTTCCAGCTCGGGTTGCTCGGATTTAAACTGCAAGTGTGATCCAGCTTTTAGATTCAACACCCTGGCACAGAACAGGATGGGGAAATCCCGTAGCATATGCTGTACATAGCTAAGATCACACAGAATTCATGCTTTATAAGCTGACAACAAGTGCCACGCTTTCAAGGAGGCTTCATTCTTAATCTATAATTAGAGTGCTACTGCATGTGGATAGTGGCATTTGGAGAAATACAGAGTACAATGATATACCTAAAGAAAACCAATAGCATTTTTTTACAATGAGGAAAATATCAATTATAGGTCTTACTGTGTATGAATGGACAGGATTATAAACCTCAATATTCTCTTACACACACATAGATAATATATGTTTATATATTACAGAAAGTGCATGTTTTTTTCTTTTATGTTATTTTGAATTTACAAGTTTATATATCTATCATATAACTTTTTTTATAAGTCATATTCTTAGATACTGACACTCAAAATGTACCTTCAATGTTGAGGCTATTGGGCAAATTATAAACCACATCAATTGCAATCGTAAATAGAACACAAATCAATTTTCCTTTAAAATCCTTTTTATTTGTATTTTTTATATACCAGTGTAATGGTCTCTGTCACTATTGATACAGCTCTATTCTGGAAACAACGCGCAACAAAAATTGCAACTGAAATATTCAACTTTTTTTATCATGGTGTTTATATTTAACACAGATAAAAACCTCTCTCTTATATATGAATATATATATATATATATATCTCCAAGAAAAATAATTGCAATGCAGAAAAAAAGAGGTATTACATAAAAGCTGATTTGTGACCTTTATGAGGAAATGAGCTTGTGAGAGATCATAAAACTTTATGAACTTCCTCAGCACAGGTGGTGTCCACAGGGACAGGCAGGGGTCCTCTGTCTGGCCGAGGAGCTGTGCTATGTTTGTGCTCCTGTCTGCTTTATGACAGTGAAAGAGATAACACATCACACCACATGCCAGATCTGATGAGAACATGTTCCCCAATGTAGAAGTGCTTTTGTGACTACAGGATGCTGACCTCTTAGAAATGGAAAGAAAAAGAAAAAGGAAAAAAGAAAAAGGGAAAACGGTCGTTTTTTTAAAACCTACATTTACAAAACTCTTTTCCAAGCCCAAAGTTAACACGGCTCCTGATGGTAAAGTTTCTGCGAAGCCTTCGGGTTTGAGAAATCACAAACAAATGCGGAACTAAAATTCAAAAGAAAATAACAAAGAATTAAAGCGAATGTATTCATATGAACATTTGCGAGAGACAGTGCATGAGTCCAGTGATAACTGAGTGTGAGATAAACATTAGAGGAGAGGAAGAGCAAGGTTTTGTGTGTGTGTGTGTGTGTGTGCATGGTTAACCTGTGGTTTAGAGTCACAGCCTCCCCCTCTTAGCCGCTGACAGAGCTCAGCTGGTCCGGTGGCCTTGTTGACCGGCCTGTTTTTTTCAACACGCTGAACCTTTCACTGGCTCCTGTGATATCGTGCACTGGACTTCTTTGGCCCTTTCATGTCTGTCCACATGACACGTAGGACCGCTGCCTTTTAGTCAAAGAAACTCCCCACAGGCTGAAGAAAACTTTTGATAATAAATTTGAAAGCGGACCAAGAATCATCAGCCTAATTACTGCACCCATGCATCATGTTATCGGGACCTACTGTCATGTGTGCTGATGAGAGTGAGATTAAAGTTTGGCTTTGTTTTGTGATCAAGGTGTTGTGAAACAAAATTCTGATATATACTTTGCTTTGTTTTATACATTCGATTTTTGTTTTATGTGCAGTTTGAGAACGGGTTTTTTTATCCTGGTAGCTCAAGATGTTTTGAGGAGCTGTCAGGGTGTGTAGAAGTTTATAACACTCTTCTCACTGTTATTGTAGAGCCACAGCATATTTCTGCATTCCTAATGCCCTAGAAGTATTAATTCACTTTGATATGCTAATTAGAGAGCATTATGCAAGAAATGAGATTAAGTGGCAGCATGAAGTCATTTGCCTGTCACTAAATTGAGTGTTTTTAGCAGGAGGGCCCCCCTTATATTTTCTTGTTTTTTTTGCATTTAGATAAGCTAAATGAAAATTGAGATTTTGTTGGCATGTGTTGTTCTTTGTTCCTCAGAGTGATATTTTCTCTTTTGGAGCAAATGTAAAACATTGCAGACCAAATTCTCCTCTGTCTCGGGACAAAGGATACATTCACATTGAGCCTTTTTTTCCATGTAAGCTGCATAAGAAGACAGTGAAGGCATTGAGTTCAAATTGCCATGGATTCGGATGGGTTTTGCAGTTATTCCTCTGCGCTGGGTTTGTTTTATCCTGCTGGCTACTCCCTTGTCTCGCTCTCATGCTTGGAAGAGGGGCTCGCAGCAGCACCAGCGGGAGCGGCAAGAATAACAAAGGTGAAAGATTACCTCCATATGGTATTTCTGACCAGGAAAAGAGAGGTTCTGTGGCAAGACTCCTCTTTGATGTGAGGTTTAATCAATAGAAAGAGATTACAGAAAACTATTACAGGCTAAATCATGGACTGCTACAGAGCGGCTTAGCCCTCTCCACAGCTCTCTCAGCTGCGAGGCGCTTCTTCTGGTTGCGTATTGACTTGTTGTTTTCCTGACCTTTGACTCATCAGGTTCTGAAATGGGGGGTCTTGGGAGGCAGGGGGGGGGAGGGAGGGAATGTGGCAGATCCCGGCTGATAAATGCTGCAATCCAGTGTTTGGAGCAGTGGATCAGGGAGGGACTGCGCTCACAGGTCGAGTCGGTGTCGCTGTTCTGTTGCACGTGTTACACTCTGACTCCTGGAAAAAAGTCTGACACGCTTTTATGTACCTTTATCGTTTGGTCGTGTTCCACATGATATTGAGGTCTGTAATAATAAGGGAGCCGAACTGGATGAGCTTGTAATTAACCACATGCAAGGCAGACTAAAAGCATTACTTGGAGTAAATAGAGTTAGGATTGAGGAGGTAAGCATTTTTTAAAGTCTTTAGGGAACGTTCATTTCAATCTTCTCTGACAAAGGTAATAAGCCTTCTCCCTAACTCTTTCTATTGGGTTATCATTATTCATTCACATTTTTTTATTATTATTATTATTGTTCTTCTTCTTTTAATTATTATTATTATTATTATACTTGGTGTTATTGATCACATTTTTGTAATCCTTCTTGTCATGGCTGTGGCAGAAAGAAAGAGGCATTAAAAAAATCTGGCCAACATAAATGGATTTTTTTTATTTTATCTTTTTGGGCTTCTTTCATACCAAAAATGCCCTGGTAAATGCATGACAGAGAACAGAAAGCTATTCAGCAGCAGAGACAATTGACTTTGGCTGCTTTTTTGTCTCAGGGAGCCCCAGTGATGCGGCTGCAGTGACTAGATAGCGTTGTGCCGAATGCTTCGTGCACAGCTGGGTTCCTGACTGGCTCAATGGCATGGCCACCGCTTCCTCCTCTAAAGCACAAGGGGGACTGGGAAAGATGTGGCTATTATCTAAGTAGCTCCCAAATACCCTCTATTTCCCCATCAGCAAAGATGAAAAGAAAGAGAGCTAGACAAAGAGGACAGAGAAAAAACAGGAGTCTACATATCAGTTTCATTTGGAAGGGTAAATGCTTTGTGCTGTGGGGATAGATGTCTCTGCAGTGGTGCTGGCTTGTGTCTGCATGCACATATACTCAGATCTGTTTTTTTTTTTCCTTTTTTTTTTCCCCTGCACAATGATCCGGTGCTGTCCCTCCATCTGCACACTGGAGCGCACACTCCCCATCGCTCCCAGCTTTTACTGCAGGCTCCTGCGCGATCAACAGCTCATAATTGTTTTTTGCACATACGTTATGCAAATGAGTCTTTATGGCAACTGGCATAACAATTAGCATCCTCCAACAATATTTTAGTAGGTTAATTGCGAAATTTCTGAATTGTACATCTGAGTTGTTAATTAGGCATGACAGAGGTGCTGAAATAGTTATCTTCAGGCGGTGGCAGCCAGCAGAGGCTGCTTTGGATGCAAAGAGGAAGGATTGATTGAAATTAGTTTACAGCAATAGGAGTGTGCCTGTTGGAGACTCTCTGCACACCCCTCTTGCTTTTTGTTGCATCTGTCTGTTGCTGAAAGTAAAAATATAAATCAGATGGAAATAGGAAGAAGGTGAATAAAATGTCCCTGTTGTTTTCCCTGTTGAAAGCGATCGCCCGTTTGTGTTAATATAAAGAAATTCTTTATGTAAATTGAGCAAACAGATGTGAACGATACAACCTGTCATACTGTGGAAAGTTAGCAAGGATTATATTGCCTCAATTTGTTGAGATTAAAGTGTTGCCAAAACTGAAAAAGACACATTAAAAGTGCATTTTAATTACAGGGAAAGTATGCTACGATGAAAGTATTTTTTTCTGTAAATGGAAGTTTTGAGAAATGTAAAAAGTAGGAGATTTGTGCTTATCTTTAGTTTATTTTCATAAAATTCTTAATGAGTTCATAAACTGTATATTTGCAAAAATAGAATTAATCTGACTTTGATTTTTGATTTTTTTAAATCTGATTAAATCTTACTTATTTAAACAATTTTCACCTTTAACTTTAGTATTTGCATATATTTTTTTTTACTAAAATTAAACAAACCCTTTATTTCTTCAAATCAGAACTTTACCCAGAGTTTACCCCGCCTCATAGAAATGGCTATTAGGATAAGAAAGGTTAAAGTGAAAGACCAGTGCAAACCAAGTCCTTTCTCAGTAAAGATTTTGCTATATATAGGGCCCAATTTCATTAGTTCTAGTGTTTCAAGGAGGA